GGCAGCGGGGCCCGAGGCCGGGTGGTTCCGCACGCTGCCCGGGTCCCCGCGGGCAGTCCGCGGCGTCTGGGCCTGGCTTCCCCCTCGGGGCAGCAAGCCCGCCGGCCCTGAGGGAGGCTGCTGTCCGTGGCCTGGCTGTGTGCGGTGGCGGCAGCTGAGCCGGCTCTGGTGCCTGCACCTCAGCGAGACAAATAGTGGGGAGTGGGGACGGGTGAAAGAGGCGATGCTTTTCAGCGCTCCCAGCCCTCCCTGAGGAGGATCTGTAGCTGTGTCTTGTCAAAGCGGGAGGCTGCTCACAACACCCCCAAAATGCTCAGGTCACATTTGTCATGTCCGACTCAAAGGAGGGAGACAAGTAACATGAGTTCGTAAATCCCCAGCAGAGTGGACAGTGGTGAGACGAGTCTCAAAGTCCAGACATTTATTCCCACAATATACTAATTGGATGCATGATTACTAAGTATATAAAGGAAATACGGCAAGTGATATAGTGTGTTTCGTGTTACCCAATGATAATATGGAAAAAGGGAAAAAAAGAAAAGAGAGGCAGAAATAGAGATCACTGACCTGGGTTCCTGTGTCGGCCCTCCAAGGAGGGCTCAAGTATGCATCCATCTTCACTTCTCTGTGCTGCTTTCTCCCTATCACTCCTCACCCCCCCACCTCATTTTATACCCACTTTCCTTGGGTCCCGCCCCTAGGTCAACCTACTGATATATCTACATACCCCATATATGAGGAGGAGGGTTAAGGTGCTTTGTGGGATGATGTAACTAGCATGATCTTGTTAATCTTCATTAGCATATGCAGGGGTGTCAACTTTAATATACATTTCATTGATAATGAGCAAAGGTCATTCATCAGACAGATGGCCCTTGAAACTTTACAAGATGCACCACAGCAGAACCATCCTGCCTTCACAGGGCTCCCTCCTCCAGCCTCATCCTGTGCTACCCCGGCAGCCTTATCAGATCCAAATTCCACACTATCCACACTATGACTATAGTTTTGTTACTTGCATGTGTTCGGGACATTCCTCGGGTTGGAGGGCCTCCACTCCCCCTCATCCCTTACCTCTTTCTCAGGCTGTTTTTCTCAGGCCTTGTTTCTTGTAGGCCCTGTTCCAGGGAGTTACAAGCCGTCTCCTACAACGTTGGGCCACATTGAGACTTCAACAGGTTGTAGGTCCAGCTTGAGCCCCCAGTTTAAGCTGCCACTTGTGTGGGAAAAGAATCCCCACAAGTTGATGAGATTAATATGCACCATGAAAGGGATGGTTTGGGCTACGTTAGATTTGTGGGCCTCCATCTTTTAAGGCTTGAACATACAGGGGAAGTTAACGCTTCATAAACTAAATTAAAACAGTTCAGGTCACGTAGTTCTTGCTGCTCCACTCAAACTTCACCTAGTTACATACTTTACAGGCTCAGTGTCATAACATGCTAAATCCAGTTTCACTGCAAGCTAAAAATCCTTTTCTGCTAGTCCTTTCTCTAAGCACTTCCCTCCTGGCTGCTTAGCTACGTGCTCCCCCTCTCCTCTTCAAAGGACCTAGTGATCATATGGCTGCAGAGTAGATCAGTTTGGATCACTGATCTCACAGAAAAGTAATTCACCAAAAAGAGTTTTTCTTTTCCTTCCTGCCTTTTTTTCTAGTTTTAATGAGGGAATCAGACTTGCAGCGTTCTGCCTAGATTGGATTAAACACAGTATAAAATTGTGCCTTGATATAAAACAAACTTTTAGGTTACACTGCTTGTGAAGAAGCCAAATCTGATCTAAAACATTTTAATGGAGCCTGCTATAACAAGACTATTTCAAGTAAACGGCAAAACTTTCCCAGGTGGACAAGTCCTCATGGAAATAATTAACAATGTTAGTATTTAAATTATCGGCGTTATCTGATTAAACCCTCGCTATGAGAATAGGGAAGTTCTCATGTCACTTTGTTCCGGGCTCCCTGCAGATTTATCTCTGCATTGCATTTGGTCTCATTTTTTAGGTTTTCTTCACAACTGTACAGCTACAGATTTATTCTTTACATATTCCTACAAACTCATAGCCAAATTCTGACCTTAATTTAGGAAATACACCATCAGTAGGCAATGTTTGCTGGTCATTTAATACATAGTCCATCAGTCCAGCTCTGATTGCCTGACGTGAAGGTGGTAAGTGAAGTGAATATTACTACTATTAATGGTAAAAAAGAATGATGATTTCAATGGGACCAGGATTTCAGCCATCACTCCTTGGTATTGGTCTTTCCTTGGTATTGGTAGCTGGTTTGCAACACAAAAGGATTTCATGGCAATGGAGGGAGATTTCTGGACCCTTTAAAGGCTGGTTGGAGAAGTGCAAGACTTGACCAGCAGCAGCCTGTCACAATTCACGGCTCTCTTGACATAATTCTCTGTATCCCTTCTGTTTGAGGCTGGGAAATTGTTAAACATAAGCAGTATTCACAATGAGCATCTTTGGTCACTCAGATATGTAGAAGAGTGTATTTTATGGATATTTTATGCTTTATATTTTTGCTCATTTTAATATCTGATTTGATTTCCATGACTGACAGTCCAACCACAAATCAAGTTACCATTTGCTTAAACACCAATCCAATATTAAAGAGGAATAACAGGATAGTTCACTATTACTCAGTTTCTTAAGATACAGACCCCTCAGCCATTTTGCACAGCTCTGGTACAAAAAAGTGACCATGCCTAGATGTCTGAATTGCAGCAGGTGTGGAACAGGGATATTAATGATAACATCAGAGACAGGTATGGTGACTCTACTCACCTTCAGCTGGGAATTGTCGTGAGTTTTCAAATTCCAGGAACTATAGTTGCTCTGGATTCTGTATAAAAAATTTGACTTTTTCTTGATACTACCTAACCTGTGTTATAAAAAGCAAGTGTGCTGATGTCTTTTCTGTAAATGAGGGTTAACATACTTGCTACTTCTGGAATCCATGAATTAACATGAATTTAAGTGAACTAATAATCAATTTCTTAAATACTTTTGGAAGTTCTGCATAAATAATGTACTTGCTTATGTGTCTTCCAAAGCAAATCCATCTGCATTTGGGAATACAACAGATTGTCTTCCAAGGGGATTAAGTAAATAACTGAGCCAGAACTCAAGAAACCTGTAATCCTGGTTCTGCACTCCGTTGATGCATTACTGGGGCAGGTTGCCTTGCATCTTCTACCTCAGATTTCCCTCTAAGCTGGGTAGAATAAGGCTGAACTACTTTTTTTTTTCTGATTATTTGAAACCTTTCAGTAAAAATTGTTGTGTCCCAACTTCTCTACATCAAGCTGTTTCCACTACAATAATCATTATCAGTTTTATTTACACTGGGTTTGGATAGTAATGTTGTTTTTCCAAAATACATAGTAGCTTAATTTTGGAGCAAGCACATTCATTTTTAAACTGTATTTTATTTAAATCATTATTCTTTTTTGCACGCACACTCAAATGGTTAAAAATCACCAGACAGAAATCCAGTAAAGCAGACTTCCAAGTTTAATTCCACTAAACACTTAATAAAAGGATATTAAAAACAGTGTTATCAATGGCAAGTGGCTGCTAATTCCCTAGCAAGTATGTGCATCTGTCTTATTTTTTAACCACAGTTACCTCCTTGTGAGCTTTCATTCTAGACTGGCAAAACCAGTCTGAGTTTTCCTAGCATGGCACGCTGGCTGAGATGGGTGGTCTGGTCATGGGTTTGGCTCATAACCTTGTTGTGATGAACCTCTCGAAGTGACATCTAACTCTGAGACACCATCTTCCTTTCAAAGTTAAGCCTGTCTTTGAATGAGTTGCTCCAAACTGGATACTAAACAGGTCTTGCCTTACTTCAGCAACATCCTGTGATGCAGCAAATATTCTGTCACATCTGACAGGAAATTCTGGATTTAAAGTCTACAAATGAGGGGTGCAAAATCAAATTCACTCTCTTGTAGGTGCCAGTGGGCCTGATCTATGACCTATTGGCAGTAGCAGCAATCATAGGAAGCAGTACTACCTCTTACAAGATATACACAGTTGAAAGATGCTTTCTCTATGAGCATATTCCCCAGAAGAGCAAAGGTAGAGTAGGAAATAGGAAAGACTTTAAAAAGTAGCAAATATCTTACTTAAGGAAAGAGAACAGTGTGAGTTCTAAAACAATTAAAATACACAAAAACCACTGATGTGGTAAGTTTGAACAGAACATCTTCTGAGTGTATTACCACCTCCAGACTAACCGTTGTTTCAGAATTGCGGGCAGTGTTCATGTGTATCAGAATTTGTTGTTGCTGTAATTTTTCCTTCTGTTTTTCCCCCATTCTTGTTACTCATTTTATCCACTTGTTGCATCTTACCTGCCATGTTGTCTGCAATCCACTTGATGCATCTTATTTCAGCTGTAATTTCTTTAGAGCAATGTTGTCTAAGGACCCCTGAAACAGCTGCTAGGTGTAGAATAGGAGAGCTTTGTGTGCTGAGAAATGGTCTAAACAAGCAATGTGTCTGTCAAGTGTGTTGTTAATGTGTCACATGTGGAGTCCCTTGAAAGCTGGTTACCCACCAAAGATCAGAATCTCAACAGAATGCATACACTCTTTAAGTATGTTGTAAAATATATAAATTATTACTAGCTCCAGCTGTCTTGGCCTGTAGCTTTGGGTTCTCAACTGAAAGCAGCATGCAGAAGCCTGGGTATTGCCCTGGACCCCAGTGTTTACTATATATTGTATTTCAGACATCTAGAAATAAGAAATAAGAAACTCCAGAGAAATCCAAGTGTTAAACATATTACTGGTTTTTATTTGTAATTTGGGGTTTTTTTCAGTCTGGATGCTGGACTAAGCTTGGGTTTGTTTCATCAGAAAGCCCATCTGGTGTCAGGGGCAGCAGGGGAATCTGGGTGGACAAATGTAAGGCAGTCCTTCCTTT